TGTTGTTGTTGTTGTTGTTGTTGTTGTTGGCAATGGCCGCCTGCTGACTGAGTGCGGTCTTGATGAGATCGAGCGCGCCGCTCTCTACGGTGGATGCGAGCGAGGATTTGCCACTGGCCGATAGGCTGGGCAGTGGCGTGGAAGTGCCGGACTCGAGCGCCGACGAGGCAAACGAGGGGAGGCAGAAGGAGCCGAAAGCGTCGTGGTAGGGGTCGGTGCCCTTGGACATCGGTACGGGCGAGCGCAGCAGCAGCACCGTCACCGGAGGCGGCGCCTCCTCGATATCTTCAGCGGCGGACATGGTGTTGTCGGATGCGCCCGAGGCTTCGAGACGAGGTTCAGCGGAAAAGGAGCGTCGGCGAGGCCGAGATGATGACTGTTTGCTGAAACCACCGTGGTTGGCCGCCTACGTAGCCCTGGTCTTGGCACAGGCAATGGCAAGGTCGGCGTATCCGACGAGGCGGGGTGAGCAGGGGGCGGTTGCGATGGCGATGGTGATCGTGATTGTGATTGCGATTGTCTCGGAGAGGCGCCTCGAAGGTGTTCGAGCAACATGGCCATGTGACTGCAGGGGTTGGCTCCACTCCACCTGTCGGTGCGCCTCCGGCCGCAGTGTGCATTGTCGGCGAAACCATCACAGCCCACAGCGCGTCGGCGTGCCGCACTCCAATGCACAATTTCGTCGGGCGGTGGTGGTCCATGCAGCAGCAACGGCAGCACCTCGGCTGCCACGTTTCTGCAGCTCCGTCTCGAGCGCAAAATTCCACAGTGTCAGAGGCTCGGATCTGACAAACTCCAAATTTCGCGAGCAACGATGGCCTGACTCTTTTGGACTCTTCTCCTTCTCCGCAGATTTTCGCGCGAAGGTGTTGGTTTGGGGCAATTTGGGTCCCCCGCGCGAGACGCATCCGCACCAAAATGCGAGCGGTTCATTGGGTCTGCTGCGGGCAGCCAGCGGAGGGCGCGTGTGTGCGTGAGAGGATGAAGTCGAGAGGGTTCAGCGACGAACAACGGGCGCATGCACACACCCATCAATCCAACCCAGCGTCGGCAATCTTCTTCGTGGCCCTTGCCTTTGTCGCTTCTTGATCTGCCACCACCACCACCACTTTCCGAGTATACAACCATGTCGACGTCTCCTGCCTCGGGCGAGGCGCACTTTGTCATCGGCGGCTCGGGCTTCCTCGGCTCTCGCATTGCGCTTGCGCTGCGCCAGCGCGGCGAGAAGCACGTCGCCGTGTTTGACCTGCATGCGGCTCGCCAGCCCATCGAGAAGGTCGACTACTACACTGGCGACATCACATCCGAGTCGTCGCTTCGTCAGGCGCTCATCCAGCTCCGTGACAAGGCCGGCATCGAGGCAGGCGCCAAGAGGGGAATCGTCATTTACCACACTGCCAGTCCCGTTGCTGGTCTCGGCCCCGAGATCTACCACAAGGTCAACGTGGTCGGCACGCAGACCGTCATTGCCGTGGCTCAAAAGTCCGAGCTCGCCGTCACCAAGCTCGTCTTCACCTCGAGCGCCGGCGTGGTGTACGACGGCCGCAGCCTCATCAACGTCGACGAACGTCTTGCATACCCCAAGAAGCCTCTCGACGCCTACAACGACACCAAGGCCAAGGCGGAGGCGCTCGTTCTCCAGGCCAACTCGATGCAGCCGGGCAAGCTCAAGACGGTGGCACTGCGTCCCGCTGGCATCTTTGGCATCGGCGACAGGCAGGCGCTGCCAGGCTTCTTCAACGTGCTGCGCACGGGCAAGACCAAGTTCCAGATTGGCGACAACGAGAACCTGTTTGACTGGACGTACGTCGACAACGTGGTGCATGCGCATCTGCTTGCTGCCGACAAGCTCGAAGGAGCCGGCTACCCGGCGCACAAGCTCGGCGACATCATGATCTCGACGCGGGTCGTTGCCGACGACGAGGTCAAGCGCGAGCGCGACGTGCCCACCAGCGAGGCACGCGACGACACCCCGGCGGGCTCCACCGACTACGCACGCAAGCTGCCCAGCACGCTGAGCCCCGAGACGCTCGAGCACGAGCTCAACGTGCGTCCCGTGATCCGCAACCGCTACGACCAGTTCTTCCACATGATGAACCCCGAGGTGCCGAGCGCCGGCAATCCGCTGGGCGAAGAGTTCCGCATGGTGGAGGAGTCGGTGCCCGTGGCGGGCGAGGCCTTTTTCATCACCAACGGCCAGCCCATGCCGTTCTGGGACTTCCCGCGCGCGCTGTGGGCGGGCCTGGGCCATGTAGTGACGGAGAAGGATGTGTGGAAGATCTCCAAAGACTGGGGCCTCACCTTGGCGGGGTGGGCCGAGACGTTTTCGTGGCTCACCGGACGCGAGTCGCAGTTTACACGGTACAAGGTGACCTACTCGGCGAGTGCGCGATACTACAACATTGAAAAGGCGCGTCGAGCGCTGGGCTACCAGCCCATCGTCAGCGTCGAGGAGGGCATCCGACGCAGCGTAGAGTGGTGGAAGAGCGAGCACCCGGAAGACGTTGTCTCGCCCAAGGCTTGAGCGCCGAGTCGACGCTTCACCAGAGGCACTCACACCAACCACTTGCCGCACACATCGGCGCTCAATCTATGCATGCTATAATTTGGAAGAGTGCCTGAGAGGAGCGAGTCGCCGTGCTGCTAAGATTGTGGGAAGATGAGGGCCGAGTGCAATTTGTGACTCGCGGTGGGGGAAAAGCGCGCGGATCTCCCGTTTCGGGCGTATCGGTGAATTTGGAGGAGCTTTTTCGGCAACGTCGGGAGAGCCGCGGCGGCACTGCGAGTGCACAGACGCTGGGTGCAGCGAGTGGACCCGTGCCATCATCGTCTTCCATCGGAAGATCCGCTCGAGCCGGCAAGCACGCTTCCGTTCATTTGGGGGAGTCACACGACGCCACGTCACGTCACGCTCACCCACATCACTGGCCCTACTTCGGACATCTTCCGCCCTCGGTGGCTCTTAAAAGATCGGCTGGCCCGACAATCACCTTCTCGCTTGGGACCCCAACAATAGTCGGATATCGTCGACAATGCGGCCCAGTCTCGAGGATCGCATCGAGGTGCATCGCGCCCAGCTCCAGTCAAAGCCGTTTCCAGGCTTCGGTCATGCCCTCAAGCCATACTACGGCTTCGACGAGTCGTATGTCGCCCTCAACAACGGCTCGTTTGGTGCCTGCCCCAACCATGTGCTCGCGGTCTACAAGGAGTTTGTCGACGAGGCCGAGCGATACCCCGACACCTTTCTACGCCGCATGTACAGGCCGCTGCTGACCACGGCGCGCAAGCAGCTCGCCGAGATCATCCACTGCCACGTCGACGACCTTGTGCTGGTCGCCAATGCCACCAGCGGCGTCAACGCCGTGCTGCGCGGTCTCAATGGCACATGGCGCAATGGCGACGCCATCCTCGTCTACGAGACCATCTACGGCGCCTGCGGCAAGACGGCCCAGTACATCGTCGACTCGAATCCCAGCTTTGCACTCCAGATCGTCCGCGTCCCGCTCTCCTACCCTCTCACGCACGACGAGGTGATCCAAAAGACGCGCGCTGCCATCGAGGATGCCGAGGCCAAGGGCATCAACATTCGCATCGGCGTGATGGACGCCATCTCGTCCATCCCAGGCGTCGTGGTGCCGTGGGAGCGCCTGTGCAAGCTTTTCCGCTCGCACAACATTCTTTCGCTCGTCGACGCCGCGCACGCCGTCGGACAGATCAAAGTGGACATGATCGCCGCCGACCCGGACTTTTTCATCTCCAACTGCCACAAGTGGCTCTCGGCGCATCGCGGCGTGGCGCTCCTGTACGTGGCCAAGCGCAACCAGCACCTGACGCACGCCATCCCCACTTCGCACGACTACCTCTCGCCCAACCTGCCGCCACCCAAGGGCCCTCCGCTGCTGCCCACCGACGCACCCTCCAACTTTGTCGCCACCTGGGAATGGACCGGCACCATCGACATGTCCAACTACCTCAACATCCCCGCTGCGCTCGAATTCCGCCGCTGGATGGGTGGCGAGGCTGCCATCATGGCGTACAACTCCAACCTCGCGCAAAAGGCAGGCGAGATCGTGTCGCAAAAGCTCGGCGCCGGCTCGGTCGTCATGGAGGTCGAGGCGGCCAGCGAGGCCGAGCGCCTCACGGCGAGCATGGTCAACGTGTCGATCCCCGTCGACGTCGCTGCCACCGATGCTGATGAGCGCCGCGTCGAGCTCGCCATGCTCGGCGCACGCCTCCAGACGCGCCTCACCACCGAAAACGAGACGTTTGTCATGTTCTATGTGCACGCCGATCGCATCTGGATCCGCCTCAGCGCGCAGGTCTGGCTCGAGCCCAGCGACTTCGAGTGGGTCGCTGACAAGATCCAGGCCCTCGTCCTCGAGCACCAGCTGCAGACCAAGGCAACTATTTGACTCCACTTCAACTTGACGTTGCGTCGCTCACTAGATTTAGCCTCAAGCCAATGCATTCCCTAGACAATGCCATGCTCATTAAAATTTTGCAGCTAGGCCTTCCTAGCCTGTTCCGGTTGTGCATTGGGAGCGATGTCGTTATCACGAGCAGATCTTCAAACGGAAAGCAAAGCACGCCGGTTTCGCACCTCGACGATGCGCGCACCCTTACGATGCGACGCCCAGATTTCGCGCCCAGAAGTGATGGCACAGTGCTGTTACCCAATTTGCCACGAGTCGCACATGCTTTTACTCGGAGCTCGAAGAGATGTGCGTGTCCAACTCGTTTGAACACCGGGTGGCGAGCAGTAGCATGGCAGCTGAGGCGGACCGTGTGGCGCTTTGGCCTTCGGACTCGCGCGCGCCGTCGTTTGCCAGGAAAGACACGGGGCTGGGAGAGGGGCGGCGTAACGAGCTTAAACGCCGAGTTGGCATTTCAGAAAGCCGCTATGCTGCGCTGTCATCCTTTGGATTGCGTTTCCACTGCTGCCAATCGCAGTTGCACGAGACATTGCGGTTGAGCGCGAGCACGAGCTTTTCCATAGTGATCCACGTGGGGAAGAAGGTCGGGCTAGATGCACTTGCACCTTAGGATTCGGGGTCGCGAGCTACGCTGGGCATTCCAAGAGCACAAGCACGCCGTTGGGTCGGCCTCTCGCGTCGCTCAGTGCGACGAGTCGCAGCATGTCAAGATGTAGCAAGCTGAGACGACCCGCCCTCACGCCGACCACATTCACGAGTCGAGTCGATCAGTGGTCAAAATGATTCACCAGTAAAACAATGGACACGAGGTCGGTTCATCTTCGACCTGCGCCGAAAACTATCACCGAACCTCAGCCCCTCTCTCATCTCGCCATCACAAAGGGAACCGCCACTCCCTCAGCAGTGCCGCTCCCAAGAAGCGCCCTACCAACGTGTAAGTCTCACCAATGCGAAGGTCCTTTTTTGATTAGAGTCAAAGCTTCTTCACGGTCGGAAGGTTGTGTGGGCGTGCGATTGTCTCAGGCAGAGAGAAAGAGGGAGAGAAAGAAATGTAGCATTGCAAATGAATCATCGACTACGAGCGGCACTCGATAGGCAGGGAGCGATGCGGGTACGAGCCTTGCGAGGTGTGTAGGTGGCTCGCACGACCGTGTTTCTTTGCGAGACGCACCAGCTTGCATTATGCGCGTCCGAGTCAGACCTGCATCCAAGCCAAGAGGGTGGCACCGAGTATGCTTTGGCACTTGCGCCTACGCACCAGCCAGCAGCTTGGCAATCTGCTCGTTGGCCTCGTCCGTATTTGTCTCTGTCACCTCGAACGCGGTCCTGACCGCCTTCCTGCCTGGCTTCCTTGGCGCATCCTTGTCGTCGGCGTTGGACACCCAGCCCATGGTCCTCTGGTACGCCGCCTCGGACCGGTCGAGCAGCTTTTCGAGGTTGTCATCCGAGATGATGTGGTCGTTTTCGTCCTTCACCAAAAACACCTGCTCGGACTCGAGCGCCAGCAGCTGCGTTGCAATCTCGCGCAGCTGGTCTTCCTTCTTCTTGCCCACGGGGAGCGAGGATTGGTAGCCCGCAGGAAGTCGGAACTTGCCCTGCTGGATGACGAGCGCCTCGAGCTTGCGTTTGTTGCCAGCGCGCTTGAGGATCTTTTGCTCCACCGTATTCGCCGACACGAGTCGGAAGATCAGCACGGGCTTGGTTTGGCCGATGCGGTGAACTCGGTCCTGCGCCTGCAGATCCATCTGCGGGTTCCAGTCCGAGTCGTAGAAGATGACCGTGTCGGCAGCGACCAGGTTGATGCCGAGACCACCGGCGCGCGTGCTGAGCAGGAACAGGTTGCACGCATCCTTGCCCTTGTCCTCGTTGAACGACTTCATCTGCGCCCTCCTCTCTTCCTGCGGCGTAGTGCCGTCGATGCGGCAGGTGCGCAGCTGCTTGAACTCGTTGGCCCACTCCTCGACGATGTCGAGCATGGTGGTAAACTGGCTAAAGATGAGCACCTTGTGCCCACGCTCGAAAAGCGCATCGAGCAGCCGGTTGAGCATGAGCATCTTGCCCGACGCATTGATGAGGTCCTTGTTGACCACGTAGGTGCCCGTCGCCTTGTCCACGGGCCAGTCGAACAGAAAGGGATGGTTGCAGATCTTGCGTGCCTGCATGACGATGTTTTCGAGATGCATATTTTTGATCTGGCGCTGCGCCTCGCGGATCGAGTAGAGCTTGCCCTGTCGCTCTGCCTGCGACGCGGTGAGCTGCTCGGGCTCGCGGCGCAGCTCCTCCTCGAGCCGGTCAAAGTAGCTGTTGTCCGTCAATTCGTCCACCTGGTAGTTGACGCCGCGCTTGGCACGTCGAGCGGACTGGTGGCGCGGGGTCGAGGCGCCCGAGGCCGAGATGTCGTCTTCGGCATACGCGCTCGCCGTCGAAGCACGCGACGACTTGAGGTTGGCGGCGGCGTCCTTACGAGGGCGTCCTCGCTTGCGCTTTTCCACCACAGGCTCCTCTTCGGGCTCGTAGTCGTCAACGGCAATGGGAGAGTGGCGGCGGCTCTGGGCGGCCGAGGCGACGCGGGTGGTGGGGACCGAGGAGGAGGCGGTGTTGATGCCATCGGGGTCGTCGAGGATCTGCTGGATCTCGGGCCACGGCAGGCCGGTCTTGCGCTGGAGGAGCCAGCGTCGGATCTCGCCGCTGACGACCGAGTTGTAGAGCTCCTTCTGGAGCTCGGTGAGCGGCGCATAGAGGAGATACTCCTTCTTGGGCGGCAGGTCGGTCTCGACGTCTGCCTTGAGCCTACGCAGGAGGAAAGGCTTGAGGATCTCGTGGAGCTGTGTGATGACCTGGGTGGTGTTTTCCTTCGAGAGGATGCGGTTGGAGCCCTGGTCGTCGTGAATGTCAGAAAAGTCGAACCAGGCCTCGAACGTGGCGAGGTCGTCAAAGATGTCGGGCAGGATAAAGTTGAGGAGCGACCAGAGTTCGGCGAGGTTGTTGTGGAGCGGGGTGCCGGAGAGGATGAGGCGGTTGGCGCTCTCGAAGAGCTTGAGTTCGCGGATGAGGCGGCAGTTGAGGTTCTTGAGGCGGTGGCCCTCGTCGACGACGATAAACTTCCACGGGTAGTTGGCGAGCCACTTGCGGTCGCGGATGATGAGCTCGTAGCTGGTGACGACGATGGGGAAGCGCATGCGGGCGTCCTTGTCCTTGGACAGGCGCATCTTCTTGTCGCGCATGGCACGACGCTCGTCGGGGTTCCCGTGATACATCAGAGCTGGGATGTCGGGGGTGAAACGTTCGAACTCGAGCACCCAGTTGTTGATGGTGGAGAGCGGGGCGACGACGAGGAAGGGGCCCCAGACACCCTTCTCGCGGAGGTGTGCGAGGAAGGAGATGGTCTGGAGGGTCTTGCCGAGGCCCATTTCGTCTGCGAGGATGCCGTTGAGACCGTTTTCGTAGAGGCTGATGAGCCACTCGAGGCCGTCGAGCTGGTACTCGCGCATCTTTGCGCCTGTGACGAGTTTGGGCTGGTTGCGACGGCCGGAGGCGTCCTTGTTGGGGTTGTCGGCGTCGGTGGCGGCGTCTGCGTCTGCTTGGGACTTGGACTTTTTGTTGGCCTGCTCTTCCTCTGCCTGTTGCTTTGCGGTCTCGAGGTCGTTTTCGTCGAGGTAGCTGGTGAGGGACTCTTCTGCCTTGCGCTTGCGGTTGTCCTTGCGGCGTGCGTCGCGCTCGGTGGTGGGTGCGGGTGCGGCGGGCTCTGTAGCGGTGGCGCCGGAGCGGGTCTTGCGGACGGTGGGAGCGGGTTGAGGCTCGGCGGCGGTGGTCGGAGCACGCTGTGCGCTCTTCTTCTTGGCGGCGGCATGGCGAGCCTCGCGTTCCCTCTCCATCTTTTCGCCCATGAGGCGCGAGTATACGCTGGATCTCTGGAGGAGGGTCTTTAGTCTGTCTATGCGCTGTTCGTGCACGGCGGGGTCGACCTCTGGCTCTGCGGGCTTGCGGCCGCGCTGCTGGGAGGAGGCGGAGCGAGCCATGGGTGCGGGAGAGTTGGTCGAGGTGGATGGCGCCGAATGGTGGTCTTGGTTGTCGGCCTGTGCAGCTGCGCGGAGGAGTTCCTCGTCGTGGGAGTCGTCGTCATCCTCGTGGTGGTCGTGAGTGCCGTTGGCGTGTTTTGAGCTGGATGCGGTCATGTCGAGGCTGAGGGTGGACGCTTTGCGGAAAGCGTGCGGAACGAAGTGCGGAACAAAGCGCTGGAAGCGAGTGCGGAAGTGAAAGAGGTTGAGTCCACGTGCGGGTGCGGGTGCGGGTGTGATTGGCGCGTGCGGGACAATGCTGTCGAGTCAAAGGAGCGGACGAAGACAGCACACACGGCGCTCTGTGCTCAGTACCTTGTTAGCGAGCGGGAATGGTGATGGTGGAAGCGTTGACAGCCACCGCCGTTTGCTTTTTTGGTGGATACGAGGCTGTGACAGGGCGACTCCACAAGCGTTGGGACGAGCTGCTTGTGTAATTTCTCCCACCTCTCTCGGCCCTGCAGCGGCCGCCAAAATGAAAGAGTGTCTCTGAGATATGCATTCCACCTTCCTCTTTCCACCTTCCGAATCTGCGCCGCGCCCCGCTGCTTTACGCGTCACGCGTCCGTAAAGATGCTGTGTTTGTTAGGTTGCGACTGCATCCAGCCCCCTTTTTTTTGGACGAAACGCCGGCGAGACGCAGCCGCAGCCATGCAAAAGCCCAAAGGCGGGAAATTGTCAACGGGCTGCTCGTTGGCTGTCAAGCGGCAACTCCATCCGCTTGGGGGTGGCGAGGGCGGCATCACCATGCGACGCCACCGCCGCCGCCTACTCGCAGCTGCCACACACCTCATCACGTCGCCTGAACCCCAATCTGTCAGTTCGTTCATCACCCAAAATCATCTGTTTCGCATGCACGCCACTTCTCGGGTGTCAATGCCCTGCATGCGAGTCTCGCTTTCTCCCATTGTTCTCGCTTGCCGCCTTTTTGTTCCCGACCAGCGCGGTGCATGCTCGGACCTCGAGTCGGCAAACATCGCGCTCGGGACGTCGGTCGGCGTTTGACTCCGAACAATAGCATTGCGTCCCCCCGCTAAGTCGGAAGCGCGGTTGGCGCCCTTCATGCTCACACGCTCCAGCTGTAGCTCCCCTTTGTGTGGCTGCGTGTGCGCTGCCCGACCTTATTCCAGCCCAGCAGCGCGGCAAAGGTCGCCTGATCTCCTGCTACCCGCAGCACTGAGACATAGAATGCCAAGGTCTCATCGAATGCAAGTTCGCTCGGTCCTGCTGTAGCACGGATGGAAGCGGCCGTAGCACAAACGCATCTCGATCCCAGTATAAAGAGCCGCCACCCTTGCACTCGGTGTTACTCCCGCTCGTCATCCCTTCCTCTCCTCCAACACTCCTCATTTCCTTCCTGCAAGTCGAGGTCGCGACGATGAACGCCACAGCGCTGCTCGATCTTCCCTCGGTGGCGCCTTCACTACTTCGGCCCATCACCGCTGCCTCGATGACCTTTCTGCACCGCAATCAGACCGAGGACCAGCTGCTCGTTTCCCTCGCGCACGCCATCTACCAACCACTCCCCTCCAACCTGCGCATCTACGTCCTCGCCGCCGAATTCGTCGTGCTTTTCATCGTGCTCGTGTGCGCCGTGATGATGTTCGAGAAACGCAGCTTCGGCGGTCTGTGGATCTTTATCGCGCGGCCCACCAGTTTCGGCACGGTGTACGTTGCCAACGCCGTGTTTTTGCTAGTGGGTGCGGTGGTGGTGTATATGGTGGCGTATCAGGGCATCGCTCTTACCGTCGCTGCGTTTATCATGGCTCAACGAAGCACGCTCGAGTATTGGTGGGTCATTCCGCTCCCTTGGTATCCGCTCGTAGCGGGCGGCTGGACCAGCATCCACGGCTTCGTGCTCGGTGTTAGCCCCAAGTCGCCATTTTCCTCGCACCAGTCCAGCAAAGCAGGCTGGTGGTATCTGCCGGTTCCCAAACGCGCTTGGATCGTCAACTCGCTGCTCGTCGTCCCCCTGGCTGCGTTTACAGTGACAACGCTCACGTTCGTCGGTTTGGGCGCTGCACAGTGTTTCCGCGCCAAACACCTTGCCAAGGACATCCTTCCTGCTGCACTGCACAGCCAGCTGAAAAAGGCAGCTTTCGACCCGACCCACTTCGCGCACAGCAACGCTCTTGCATCCGACGACCTCATTTGGAAAGCACGTAGGGTGGCAGCGGCGTACTTCGACAGCTACCGCTTCAGCTGCCTCAACCTCGCCGTCTTTGCCGGCTTTACCGTGCTCATCTTCATCGCCGTACTACTCTATGGCCTGCCCAATCTCATCAGCCTGGCGGACAATGCCTGTCGTCGCTCCGCGACCCCGCTTCCCACGGGTTGCACATCCTACTTTGCCAAAGTCTGGTTCTTGCTCACCAAGGGTCGGCCGGGACATGCATGCAACATGAACACGTGGAAGATGACCTTCCTGGCGCACATCTATGTGATTCTGCTTGCCATCTGCGTACCCGCCTACGGTGCTTTGCCCATCTACTTTATCGCGGCCAGCTTTGGAAACGTGCAGAAAGGGGATGTGATGCAGCAGATCAAGTCGCTCCAGTTCGCTGCGAGCATCTTGACCGTACTGTCGGGCACCATCTTTGCCGTATTCTGCACCGCCGCCACCATCGACCCGCTCTTTAGGGCCGCAATTGGTCTGAGCATCAGGAGGGCAAGGAGTGCCAGCACCGATGGGGAAATCAGCATCACCGTCGTCCAGTACCAGACGAGGCAGCGAGCAAGCACCGCCCAGTCGATCGTGGGTAAGGATTTGGAGGCAACGTGCGCTAGCCCCCACTCTACCAACGGCTCCTTCCAAAGCTTGCAGGCCAAGTCGGACGCGTCGTTGGCGCCAAGCACCGCTGCATTGATCACGCCTGTTATCGAGGTGGATTTGCGCCACCCTCAACGCTAGCGTACCGACCCGAATTGCGACCTCATAGCCTCTTTGCTGTATACCCTTACGCTCTCTTTACGTTGCATCTCCTCACGCTTTTTTATGATGTATCTTCTCACGCTTGCGCAGAATCGATGGATTTTCTGGCTCTTGGTTGCGTGCAAGATGTTGCATGGCGGTCTATACGTTCAAGAGCGGGTGGCAGCCGTGCTGGTGGAGACTTGACCCTTGAAAGCTCATCCTGCTGCCGCGGAATCGGGGGGCTAGCTCGGATCCGCGCTTCTTTCACAGTGCACAAGGAGGTCGTGCTGCCCTTTGAGAACGTGACTGCATCGACCTGGATGCTGGCACGCAGACCACGCTTCTTGGACCCGTTCGCGGTCTCAGTTGTGCACGTCATGCTGCGTGGGAATCGTTGACCCTGCTTTGGCCATTGCGACCCAGCTTGGTTCTATGCACCTGCCATCGCTTCTCTGAAGCCCATCCCACGGCAGCGGGGATCGATCCTTGCCCTTCCAACGCCCTCAACAGCGTGAATTTGCAACGACAGCCTTGGACGAACGCTAACAGTGCACGCACCGCGCCTCTTCACTCGTAGATGCTATCGCCTCCAAGTGCACTGTGCGTTGCCCTCTGTGCATGATCCACTTTTGGCGATTGCTGCACAAGCCCAGGGAAGCATCGATGCGATGCCATGACGGCAATGGAGAACCGCGCTCGGTCACGTTGCACTGCTCGATGCTCCGAGGGATGGCAGCCGCGCTGGCGCCGTACACAGGATCGAGGCTTCTCAACTGCGACCGAATGCTGATTCTGCATACGATTCTACTCCCAGTCTCGGTATCTGTCGTCGTAGCGGTCGACGACGAGCTGAGCGGGCCCGCGATTGACGCTCCGAAGTGCTGTTCAGCACTGTGTCGAAAGGCTAGCAGTGCCAGCGCAGTCCGAAGCGCTGAACCCGGTCATGTGGCGACGCACGCTGCACTCCCCCGCCCCGCATCTCTTCGCCAACCTCACCACCTCCCACCACACGCCACACCACACGCACTCTTTCTCTGGTCGGCGAATCTACTTGTTATTCTGCATGGGACCTTACTCTTCGTCGTCGTCATCGTCATCGCTATCGACGACGCGCTTCGCCGGGCGTTTGCGCCTGCCCACCGTCTCCTCCTCCCTCTTCCTCTTGCCCACCCCCGCTGCCACGTCCTGAATCACCAGCGGCCCGCCGAGTGCATCCGCGAACTGCTGCTCTAGCTCCTCGACCACGAGCGTATCCTCTGCCTCGTTTCCATCCACGTCGGCACGCTGGACGATCTGCTTGCGTTCCCGCCTCTCCAATGTATCCTGATCGATCGTCTGCATCGACACCAGCCTCCAGACGTGCACCTTCTTCAGCTGGCCGTACCGCACACAGCGACCGATCGCCTGCGTCATGGTAGCGTCGTACTGCTGCTGCTCCTGCTTCAACAGCGGTCCCACGAACACCACATGGTTCGCCACCGTTAGGTTCGAGCCTGCCGCCGATTCGTCCTCGACGTTGAGCAGCAGCACCCGTGCGCCCGTTTCTTGCTGATACGCCTCGAGCAACTCCGACCGCTTTCGAGCTGTGCCGGTGAGCTGGACGAAGGAGATGCCGTAGGCGGAGAGTGCTTCGGCTACCGTGGCGGTGAGCGTTTCGAACTGGCAGAACACCAGCGCACGTTCGTCCGCAGGAAGGCGGCGCAACAATGCGCCGAGCAGCGCGAGCTTTGTGCCGTATCGTGTGGCCTTGCCATCGTCCTCGGCACCGAGCGACGACGCATGCACGATCGAGGTGGGCTTGGCAAGCGCTGCGCAGCCGTCGGTGGTGCACTTGCCAATGTACGCCTCGCGCAGCACGCAGGTGCTGCAGCCCGTGTGGCCGCACGTCGAGCTGATGCTCACCTCGTCCAGCGGCAACGACGCACCTGCATGTGCGCACTTGGCCGCCGGACAGACCACTTCGACATGCACGCCCTCCAGGTGCGCACGCTGGCAGTCGCGGATCATGCTGAAGAAGCGCAGCGCGTTCACGCGGCCCACCAGCTCGTTGCGCAGTCGCGTCAGCTGATGCACCAGCGCGCGCAGATGGTACTCCTCGGCCCACGCCGCCGCCTTGGCATCCACCTTGGCCTTCTTGCCCTCGTCGTCCCCTCCGCCACCACTGCCCTTTTCAGCAGCGGCACGCTCCTTGGCCCGCCGCTTGAGTGCAGCCTGCAGCACGCCCGGCGCGGCAAAGTGCGCCTTGGCCGCCGCCCTGCTCACGGAGGCCTGGGTGCAGTTGGCCGCATCGAGCAGCTCGCGCACCATCTGCTTCGACTCGCGGTCGCCCCACGCCGCATTGTGCGCATTGCGCACAAAGTCCGCAAACGCCTGTCGGTTCTCGTCGCGGTAGCCAAAATGGTGCAGCACGAGCAGATGCTGTTCGAGCGCCACGGGCAGCTCGCGCTTGAGCTGCTCGCGGCAGTCGGCGAGCTGCTTGCGGCGCTCGCGCACAATGTACTCGCACGCCTTGATCGCGTTGTTGACGCCCTCCATCGCGTCCAGGTCGACGCCGGCAAAGTCGTCGTACACCGATGCGCGCTTCAGCAGCGCCTCCTCGGGCGACGCCGAGCTGCCGAGCGTGTCGATGAGCCGCTGGTCACGGTGCGACATCTCCAGCTGCGGCTCGCCCTCCTTGCGCTTCGCCGGTGCGGCGGCCTTCTTCTTCTTCTTGCCGCCATCCGAGTCGTCCGAGTCGAGATCAACGATGAAATCGTCACCAGCCTTGCCTTTGGCGGCGACCTTGGCCTTGGTCTTGGGGCGCGCCTTGAACACCTTGCGCTGGTGGCGCAGGTCGAGATTCTCGATGGCGTGCGCAAGCTCGAGGTACAGCGCCGACTCTGCGGCGGGCAGACGAATCGGCTTGATGAGATGCGCGCACGGGAGCTCTCCGATCTCGGGCTCGTTGCTGCGCACAAACCTGTCGAGGAATCGCTGCGCCACCTGCTGGCGGCGATGATGCCAGGCGGGCGAGTGCATCTCGCAAAAGTTGTTGAACTTTTCCGCGGCGGTGCGCATCTTTTCGCGCGCCTTGCGCACCGAGTCCTTGGTGGTGTCGGCATCGTCGTCGACGCCCAGATGCACGTTGAGGAAGACGGCGATGCTCTTGACGTCGGCAAAGTCCGCCGTGGGCGGCGTACCGGACAGGATCCACTTGGAGCGCGCCTGCAGACTCGTCACGCCCGCCAGCGTGCGGTCCATGGTCTCGCCAATGTAGTGGAACTCGTCCACGATCACGCGGTTCCACATAAACATCTCCAGCGGCGGGCACTTCATGTTGTGCCAGTCGCGCTGCACTAACGACGTCGTCAGGCCCCACGGATCCGGGTCCTTTTTGCCTGACGTCTGCAGCTCCTTGGGTAGCGCCTTGCCCTTGACGCCCTTCTTGGCACCCACGACGACCACATCGTCGTCGTCGTCCTCGCCGTCGTCGGCCGCCTTGGCGTCCATGTACGCCTTGCCCTTCAATCGGCTGCGCGCCTTGTGCGTCGTCAGATGCGAGTCGTCAAAGTCGACCCTGTTCTTGATCGACCGCACGAGCTTGCGGATCCCCTCTCCCTCTTCCTCGTGCCCCGTCAGCTCGCGTACGCGGTTCTTCAACGCCTCAAGCGACTTTTTCAGCGCGGCATTGAAGAAGCGTCCCGCGCGATTGGGCAGCGGGTTGGCGGCGGCGATGTGCGCCAACGTCTCCCAGTACGCGTCCGACTTGTACACGGTGACGGACATGATGAGGATGTCGCAGTTGAGCACGGTGCGCACCGTAAGCTTGTTGAGCTCCGCCTTGGACGTCACCACGCACACGCTGAGCTTGGAGCCGCAGAACTTGCGCACCTCCTTCTCCCACTGCTTGCACAGGTGGCCGGGCACAATGATGAGCGTCGCGCGCGTCGGCACGTAGCTGCCCTCCTCGCCCGCCGGCAGCGCCGGCAAATCGCGCCGGTGCGGCGACGACGCGATCAGCGCCAGCGAGATGCACGTCTTGCCGTATCCGACCGCATCGGCAAGCACACCTCCTCTCACGGTCATGTTGCGCACCGCCCTGCCCTCGGCGCGCCATCCGAGCGGCTCGAGCAAGCCTTCGGCGATCTCCTCTTCGCAGAACGGCTCGACATCCGCCTGCTCCTGCTCGAGCATCCACGTGAGCGACCTCTTTTGCTCGCGCCTCAGCTCGACGCGGAACAGCTCGGGCGTCGGCGCCTCGGCGTCCTGCCTATTGCTGCGCAGCGTGTACGACGGCAGCTTGAACATGTCGATGGCGCGGTCGAGCTTGGTGAGTCTCCACGAGAGCTCGACGGTGCCTGCGCCCTTGGACGGCGGCAGGCGCGACACGGCGCGGTGCATGAGCGTGGCGGCGTTGAGGCCGAAACGCACCTGTGCACGCCCATCGTCGAGGCGCAGCTGCACGACAAACGGCGACGGCCTGTTCTTGAGCGCCTGCTCGTACGGTCCGGCTTGCATCGTATTCTCGACGGGCACCACGGGCTTTCCCGGGACTGCCAGCCACTGGATGTCCGGCTCGGACGGCGCACACCGCGCACAATTGGCCGTGGCACAGTCGAACGAATCGTGTTTGGCGGACATCCACGTGTCAAAGGCGTCGATGTCCGGCAGCCGCTCGACGAGCCAGGCGAGATGACCGAACGTGGTGTTGGTCTTGTGCAGCAGGTCCACCTGGCCCCACACGCCGTCCGCGGGCCAGATGCGGTCCATGCCGCGGTCCTTGACGGGAGCTTCGCACGTGAGCACGGCGACCGAAGACGTGCAATCCTCGCTGCGCAGATCCAAGTCGTACGTCGTTTCGGGGATGGCCATCGTACCGTCGACGCCCTTGCCCGCCCGCACGTTGAATGCATCCACCTTGCGCCACGTGCCTGCGATGGTGAGCTTAACCTCTTCCTCGACGTCCTCCTGGTCCGCGTGCGCCAGCTTCGGCCTCCAGCCCGGCTCGAGCTGCGCCACGGACACGCGCTCGAGCGGATACGGCCAGCGCGAGGTGTCAGTGGAAAAGACGAAGCGATCTGCCGCCTGGTCCTGGAACCGGTCCGTGTCGATGAAGAGGAACAGCCTTCGGCGAGCCGCCTCCTTTTGCTCGCCTCGACGCACATGCAGGGCGCCGCAAGCCGTGCCGCACTGTTCGAGCAAGTCGTAGGCGCCATCGATACCGGCGTCCAGCAGCTCGCGCACGCTGTCTGGCACGCTGACGTGCATTTCCGAGTACCGCAGCTTGTCTGCAAACTTCCCGCCGAGGCCCATGGCGCTTTGCCACGTGGGCACCTGCTTACCCGTGCTGCGGATGGTCGCCGTTGCCACATGCGCCGAGGGCACGCACAGCTCCCACTGCCCATGCAAGAGGTCCACGTGCTCAGCGGTGCGATCGAGCGGCATGCGCGCCACGGGCTGGATGAGCAGCTTGCGCAGCGGACTGCCCGCAGGCTCGTCGACGTCCGGCTCGACGAGGATGCGCCAATGCGGCTCTACGGGGTCGAGGAGGAGGTCGAGGCGCGCGCCCGGGGCCGAGAACTGCGCCTGCCACACCTTCTGACGCAGCAGCGACTGGAAGCGGAACTCGGCGGTCTCGAGCACATCGACCACACGCTTGCACCAGCGTTTGGCCACAGCATCGTCCTGGAACTGCAGCCCCTGCATGAGCGACGAGCAGATCTGACGAGTGAGGCCGCTCGCCTCGAGCCGCATTGGCAGGGCCGCCTTGAGCATGGGCGCAAAGTCGTCGGGCGACGAACGCACCAAGGTATCCAAGACGAACTTGTGTACGGGGCGACCCTTGCACGTCTCGCAGGCGGTGTGGTCGCAGTCGGTGCATCGGTAGACGGGGACGTCGACGACGCGGCTCCTGCCTTCGCAGTTGCACAGCTGTGCGGTGTTGACTGCGGCGCCGAGCAGCTCGGGCATGGAGACGAGGGTGCTGGACGTGAGATCGAGCGGCTGGGGCGCCAAGAGGTCGGCGTGTGCAATGGCGGATTCGCGTTCGTCGACCACCTTCTCAACGACTTGGCTGGCGTCCTTGAGCTTGTCCTGGCGCTTCTCCTTGGTCGAGGTGGATGCGAGTGCGGCCTTGCGCTTTTCGCCGTCCTCCTTGAGATCCTTCATGCCGACGAGGAGTGCGGCGAGCACGCATGCGCCGACGACGGTGGAGCTCATGGCGTTGCCCGCGAGATCCTGGAGCTGATCATCCGTCTCCCTCGTAAGCAGGAGCTCGTCGAGCGGCAGACCCTGGAGCGAGAGCGCCTCGAGGCCGATAAGCGGGCCTCCGCGCGAGGTGAGGAAAGGAATGCCCGACGGCGTGAGGCACGGCGCGATGCCTGGTCTGGACGCGGCGACGTTTCGGTCTACGTTCTGCGAGAGCTCCCAGATCTTGGACTTGTAGATGGGGTCCTGGCCCATGGCGGCGAAGCGGAGAGTGGTGATGTCGAGCAGGTCGGTGACACGCTCTGGCTGCCGCACCGCCCACTCGTTCCACCCGTCGTGCGACATCTTGCAGGTGCCACCCTCCTCCCAGGCTGTGAGTGGCCGCGTCTTGCCGAGCTCCTCCTCGTCGCGCGCGCGCTCGTGGCGGCTCTGGCACTTGGACCAGTCGATGGTGGACCTGCCCTTGCTGAGGCCTTCGCCGTGGGCAAATTGGCGACGCACACGCTGGATACGCGGATCGTCTGTGGACAGCAGGAAGGCATCGAGCGGACTGGACGCAGGCCGCATGAGGACATTGGTGATGAGATCCCAGTTCTGCGGCAGCGAGTCGCGGTTGTTGCGGGTGGCCAGCAGGTATCCTCGCTGGCGCGTGTGTGGGATGTAGTAGTTCTTGGTGTCAAAGGTGTTGCTGAATCCGACGTCGTAGCCTGCCTCGGCGACGATGGTCTCTGCGACGCCGACCCAGGGTGCGTTTTTGACGTTTTCGAGCACGACGAGGGTCGGTTTGTGGCGCATGACCCACTCGAGCATGCCGCGGAAGGTGCGCCCACTCTCGCCGCCGTCGTTGAGACCCTTTTTGCTGTTGTTGAGGTGCGAGTAGTCGACGCAGGACGTGCCTGCGATGAGGATGTCCACGTCGCCGGGCACGTCTACGAGTGCACCGTAGGCGGTATGCGCTTTTTCGCCGCCGAGTTCGGTGACGTCGCGGAAGAGGATGGGTGGGGAAAAGTTGCGTTCGATGTACGCTTGTTTGAAAGGCTCGATCTCGCAGGAGAAGACGTGGTGTACGTTGATGCGGATGCCGTGCTGTTCGTGGATGGCGCGGCACATGAGTTCGAGAGCGAGGAGGGGCGATTCGGTGCCGCTGCACATGGTGGCGACGCGGAGGGGCCTGCCGTCGAGCGTCTGTGCGAGTTCGAGGATGGCGGGAGCGCGTTTGACCATGTCGCCAAAGATGTCCGCTAGGTCGTGGATGGGCGGATAGAGGTTCTCGGCCGCCTTTTCCTTCATCGTTTCGCGGAGCTGTGCGATCTCGGCGGGCGAAGGGACAAAGGGCATCTTGCGGAAGGGTTGCTTTAGGGCGAAGCTCGACTTCCATCCTTTACCGCTGGAGAAGGAGGGAACCGCTGCGCCCGTGCGTCTGGCAGCAGCGCCGGTGCGCTTGCGAGGCTTGGCATCGTCGTCGTCGTCGTCGTCGTCGTCGAGGAAGGAAGCGTCCAGATCGTCGAGCTCGTCTGCGGTGCGTTTTGGCCTTGCGCTTGGCTTTTCAAAGAGCGAAAAGAGGCGCTTTTGGGTGGATGGCGGACCGTTGGAGCGGAGGGAGCGCTGCGAGGATGAGCTGGGCAGGTTGGAGATAGGTCGCAAGGGCGTCTTGTTCCCGCCACCGATCATGACGAAGGGGTTTGTGCCGTAGTGGTATCCGACGACGGCGGGGTCTTCGTCAGCAGGAGTCTCTGGCATGCTGCTTGAAGGCGACTGCGAGCGCTCGACGCTTGCACCCGCGTCATCGTCGTCGTCGTCGTTGTCGTGGCCGTTGTCGCCATCGTCGTCGTCGGTTGAGGCATGGTTTTCAGGTTTGAACTCGTCCGCACTCGAGGTGTTTTCGTTCTCGTCCTCGCTGTCTGACTCGTCGTCGCTTACACCCAGGAAGACAAGGTTGTGCTTGCTATTTCCCTGCTTCAGCTTCTTTGTCGTCCGGGTCGATGGCGAAGCCGCCGCCTTGGTCGGGGACGCTGTCCGTGCCGGTGACTTGCCAAAGAACGAAGAGATGCGGGCCTGACCCGCCTCACCCGCGGCAGCAGCTCGCTTAGGAGTGTTTCGCTTTGCGCCGACCATGGTATCGACATTTCTTCCGATCAGACCATGCTTGTGTCGGAAGCTGGGCCGATAGCGTGGGAGAGGATGGGGGAAGAAGAGAGGGAGGCAAGCGCCACGTCAGGGTCTGCCTCTCTCTCTCTGCGCACAGTCCAAAAATGCGCTTCTCGAGTCGTGTTGGACTCTCTCTCTCTCTC